TACCTGGACTTAAAATTTTATTATTAAACTGATGTCTTTTTGACATTTTTTTATAGATTAAATATTTGAAGAAATATTAATATAGCAAGAACAAAGGGTATGCAATTTAGATGTTTATATGATGAATTATTTTTAATTACGTATGTATTGATATTTTTTATAAAATTACTTAGAGCTAAAATTTATTCAAAGTGGATTTTAAGAGGTTTAATACTTTTTATTATATTATGATTTTTAATTTATATACTAAACCTCTTCATTGAAACCTTTGATGATTTCCTTTTTCTTATCCACCATTTACTTTCGCTTATACATGAACTAACACCATTTCTTAGTTTATACTATTTTTTGCTCTTAATTCTCACTCTTGTAATGCAATTATTTACCTTTAATTATATCTTGAGTCAATTTGGATAATATTTGATCTTTTTGGGATAAGGCTTAGAACCTTCAAAAAGGTCTGTATACTTTCGCTTCGACACGAACTCACATCATTTAATGGGTTACACTGCCTTTTACTTCACCATTTCTTAATTTATACTTCCATAACGCCAAACATTTCTATTTTGCATTAACTTGTATAGTATTCAATCTTTAGGACATTGCTTAGTACTTTCAAAAAGTCTGCATACTTTTGCTTCGATACGAACTCATGCCATTTCTTAGCTCGCACTTCCATAATGCTAATCATTTACCTATAGCTATATTACGAATCAACATGGTTGACTTTGAACTTATGTTCGATCTTTTAGAACATGGCTTAGATTTTCTAATAAAAACAACATATTTAAGTTTTTGTACAAACTTGTCATTTTTCAATTCACACTTTTGCAGTACCAAATCTAGTTTTTAGTTGTATAATTATATTTCTCGAGTCAACGCGGTTGGCTTTGAATTTACATCTAACCTTTTTAGGATATGGCTTAAAGAAGACTGCATATAAGTAAAATGATTTCCAATCTGGGATTATTACGACATTTAACTTATTAAGAAATCCTTTTGATTTTACTAAATATAGACTAGCTATGTAATAAATCACAACTATATATGAAATATGAAATTATAATTAAATATGGAACTACGCTGTGAGAAATGCGAAATAGGATATAAAAAAAAATAATCATAACTCCAAATATTTTAATAGTGTTACAAGTTTTTGATTTTGCAAAAAATAATAATTTTTTGAATTAATTATTGCTTACGTTTATATACAATTCAATAGGTAATTCCAAATTGCATCCAACGGTTGAGTATAACTGGGATGAGTGTTGTTAAATGAAAATATAGATCTTAATTTTCAGATATTTTATATCAAGGATAGTGTTTATTAGAGTTTAAAACCAGATGACACCAAACCAAATGAACCGAATGAAAATGGGTGACCTGTGTCACTGATTTGTAACCCGTGTCAAATTGGTTAGATATTTTTTATTATAACACTTCTAGAATCATATACGTATCAGTAGAATAAAAAGTCATATTTAACGTATTATTAAAAATCGATAAAATTGTAATCATGATTTATGAGTTTTTTATTTGGAACCTTTATGCAATAAATATTAAACAACACGATAAAGTTGTAATAAAAAATATTATTATTTTATCTTCAAGCATAAGCCTTTTTTAAATTACAGCAAGATTAAATTTTCCTTTTGCATACAGAAGAACGCAATCTTAAGAATTCTGTATAATAGCACTGCTTTTCAGAAAATTTTGAACTTACCTATTGTTTTCCAGTTCATACATACCTGGCTATCTCTAACGCTAATATTCCTTATCTTTATTTATATATTCCATCAGTATTCACTATTTCTGAAAATGGTCATTAATTAAGCAGAACACATGAACAATATTTTACGGCTGATTAGCATTATAAAATTTTGGAATAACAGGTACTTGCGTATTGATTGTGGTGATCATAATGAATCCAGATCAAAATGAAATTATAATATAAAATCTCGAAAAATAAAATTTTTAGAGGTGCATTTTTTAGGGATAGGGGTTAGGGTTAGGGGTTAGTTTTAAAGTAAAGTTATAATAAACAAGTATAAGTAGGTTTTAAAAGGCTAACAGGTTGAGTAGAAATGTAGATTTTATTTTAAATTATAATCCGCGACATTGATTATTGGACATGTGTTGTTTCATAATAAAGCAAAGCATTAATTTGCAAGCCTGATACCATATATCATAAATACATTGTATGATATCTGATATGTGCTTCAGGATGTAGGAGTTATTTTGAAATTAAGAAGAATCTAGCTTTTGTTTCATAATAAAGTATCATTTTTCGAGAATATGAAAGTTATTTTGAAATCAAGAAAAGTTCAACTTTTGTTTTATGATAAGGTATCAATTTTCAAGCCTGATTCTGTATTTCATAAATCCATTGTGTTATCTGATGTGTGTTTCAGGATATGGGTGTTATTTTGAAATCAAGAAGAATCCGACTTTTGAAATAATGCCTACACTTATTATGTTTAAAATTTTATAGCAAATAGTGTTTACATAGCAAATTGTAAAATATAATTAATATAAATCTTTAATAAAGTGTTTAAAATACGTTCTGACCTTATATATATTGCTCTTAAAAGACTTCTAAATATATATTTATACAATTGTAAGAAAATAATATGCATTGATATATGTTTCTTTAATCTAAGATATTCCTAAAAGGATATACTATTTATCATTAGACAAAAAAAGATGTAAATGAAAATTTTTTAAATAAAATATCGGGTTTTTTTGAAAAAAGTGATTTGTTCTTACTATATTTTTCTAACAGCAAATTTGCTAAAATTTTCTACTTTGAAAGATTTACCGTATAAACAGCAGCTTTCCTTATGAGTGATGAAGATATTTATGATGAACTTTCTGAAAATAATGGTCTTCTAGAAGATAATGAATTTCTAGAAAACAATGAATTTTTTGAAGATAATAAACTTCCTGAGGAAGATTCTTTTGATTTTTATCGTGAGGCCAGTAATGATCAAATGATTAGTTCTAGTAGTGTGGATATTTCCACAGCTCATATAGACAACCAACCTTCTGCAACAAAAAAAAGCAAACCAAAATATAGACGAAATTATGCAAAGATTAGTTAGGTGTGGAAATATTTTGAAATGAGCAAGGATAAACAATATAATGTGTGTAAAGTTGAGGTGATGAATTTAAACAATCAAAACGAAAAAGTTAAATGCGGTCACAAATATCTACACAATGGTAGTACAGGAAATATGAGTAGCCATCTTCAAAATATACACAATTTATATGAAAATAAAAATAAAGTTAGTTTCTATTAATTATTGTTAATTAATAATAAATAATTATACTTATCTTATTTTATATAGAACCAAGATCATACAGTTCAGCAAATGCTATCTGAAGCTTTTGAACAGGCAAAAAAAATCAAGATGCATAAGGAACCATAAAACCAAAAGATTCGGCAAACAATTGCTGAATAGATTATTGTCGATAATTTGGCGATTAATGTAATTAATGGAAAAGGGGTCCGTATTGATTCACTGACAATCACTTTACCGACAGCTCATTTAGACAACATCACGCCAGGTGAAATTTAGTAAAGATATATACCTGCAACTAATGAAATGCTTAACCCTAACCCTATGTGATGTCGGCTAAATGATCATTCGGTGAAATGATTGTCGGTGAATTGAAGGGATCCCATGGAAAAGGTTATAAGAAAATGATAAAAATTGTTGATCCAGCCTTTCAAGTTCTCTCAAATAAAAGAATTAAAAAAATAATTAATGATGGTTATCCTAATGTGGTTGAAAATTTAAAACAACTGCTAAATAATATATGTGAGTCAGCATCTTTAACAACTGATCTATAGACCACTTGAAGCAAGCATAGATATATAGGTATAACAGTCCATTGGTTGTCAAGTGATTTTAAAGTATATGACTGTCTTCTTTGTATAGAATGTATAACATATCCGCATTCAGCTGAAAAAATCATTGACTTGCTAAAAAAAAAGTTTCAGAATTTGGGATAAATAAAAAAATTACTTGCATTACAACAGATAATGGTAGTAATATGGTTAAGGCAATTCGATTGTGGGAGGGGGTTGAGCGTTTGCCTTGTGCCATCCATACTTTGCAGCTCTCAGTTACCCATGCTTTTAAAAAAAAATATATTTATATTAAAAAAATCAAAAAATTAGTTAAGTTTTTCACTAAGTCTCCCAAACAAAGTGAACGTCCAGATGAAGCTCAGCAATTCCAAAGGCATTTACAAATTCAAAATGATATTGATTCTAATAATGCATTAAATTCTGGTGATAGTGATTCAGACAGTTTACAGTCAGCTAATATTACAGATTCTGAACAACCAATCTTAAGAAATATAGCAGACATAGAAATGAGATGGAATTCAAAATACCACTCGTAAAAACGGCTACTTAAATTGCGTAAAGCAATTGAATGGTTATGTGCGATATTACCTTTATTTAATAATCCAGATGATAGAGCAAATGCTCAAAAATTAAAAAAACTACTTCTTTTACCACATGAGTGGGATCTACTAAACCAAATTATTGCTCTGTTAGAGCCGTTTGATAATGCTACTACTTATTTTAGTGGCTCACGATATGCCACCCTATCTATTATATACCCTTTAATTCAGACTCTAAAATATAGATTCATTGAAGTTGAAGCAGCAAGTGATATACCAGATGAAGAACAAGGTAATAATTTAATAATTCTCTATTACTCATTGTATCATAAGATTACACCACATTTTATCTAAAGTTATTTTCTCATCAGCACCATATTGCTAATATACTATGTTATCTATGGTACATTTTTTCAACAAGACATCTATTTGATATTACATGTTTTTAACAGCCCTTTTCTTAGACAAGGCATTCCCTGACAATCATTTCCTTGACATAATTCTAACTAATACTAACTCTAAATCAGGAAAACCCTAATGTTAAATCGAGCCAATTTTATGCCAGAGAAATTATTATCATTGAGATGTCTTGTCTATGAAAAGAATTATCGAAAACATGTAATATTAGATAAATATCTTTTTGAAAAAATGTACTGTAGATAAAATAGTATGTCGGCAATATATATAGTGTTGATGAAATGGTTGATAGGGAAATAACTTTCAGGAATTGAGCAACAATGATATCATAATACTTATTTTTTATAAGTAATTTTTACTAATAACCTTTTAAATAAAATATTTGTTAAATAGATATACCTAACTTTTGTCATGAAGAATCATCAGACGATAATAGTGAAGATTCAGAATGCGATGATTTGGATCCTTTATATCATGAAGCAGTTGCTACTACTAATTCAGCCGATGGTTCTTTACAAAATTTCTTGATTATTAAATCAATATATCATATAATTTATAATTCATTATTTGATTATTGGAATGAACCAATAATGATTGGATTGTTAGCATCACTTCTGAATTCCACGCTTAAAACACTTTCTAATTGGGATGAAGAAACTCGAAAAAAAGCTAAAGAAGAGTTAAAATATCAATACAAACATATAATTTCTTCAAGTTCTACAACAGTTCCAGAACATGCTGTTATTTCAAAAAATATTCATACCTACCACAATTGATTACATTCATCAATTTTTGGTTCATCTACTTCAAGAAATACTGCAACTAATTCTTTAGCTGAATTAGAATGCTATTTGGATCCCACACAAACTCCCATCGCTGAAGATTTTGAGGATCCATTTGAATGGTGAGCAATTTGAAAATCAAAATTTCCTAATGTAGCCAAATTAGCTAAAAAATATTTGGCTATTCCCGCATCCTCCGTTCCTAGTGAAAGATTATTTTCGGATGCAGGTAATTATATTACTGCTAAGTGTACCCAATTAAATTTCAATTTAGTAAGTAAAATGATGTTTATGAAAAGAAATTCTGGTGTAATCCAAATATTTTAGTTATATTCGCTAATAGTAAAGGAAAAAAATTGTTAGATATTAAAAAAAAAAAAAAAATCAAAATTGTATGCGTTTACTTATCATATTTTATTATTTGAGCATTAGAAAGGCTAGGTAGCAATTTTTTGGTTTATATTCAGTTAGTTCATCAACTTTACAATTTGATATCAAATAAAATTTGAATAAACACTCAACCTCTAATACGTATACGCCAAAGTCATTATATAACCATATAATCAGAGTTCTCTCTACTAATCATTTTCACTAAAAGTACTAAAAGTCTAACTTTTATCACTACCCATATTAAAGATTGTACATGTTAAGAATATTTCTACCAGGTATTATTAAATTACCTGGTCATCCAGATAATTTATTATTGCTATGTAATAAAAGTGTCCACCTAGGTACAATCTAATCTCTATCCCATATATCCAACCGGTTTCACTCAAGTACCCGATTTTAACATTACACAGATGTCCCGGGTGACAATTTTGCATCCGGTTCCAAACTCTAGTGTTTATCCTGAAAATTTCGATAATATGGTAGGTGATTAAACCTTCTTTTCTTCAATGTTTTATCTTGCCATATCGACGTTGGGATATTAACCAAATAAGATTTAATTGCATAATAGTATTTTAGAGGTGATCATCATGTGTTCTATAAAAATCCAAAGTTTGAGATTTTTACACTTCACTTGTAGCCTCATCAAAGTCTATTGGCGATACCATTTATGCATAAAAGAAGGTTCGGATAAAGTAATACAAATTCCACGGCGGTTTTAAGTAGAGGTCAGATTCTTTGAAATATCCACTATAGTTATTCAGTAAATATTCACAAGTTTTGGATATTTACGAATAGCATTAAATGAATATTCAGAATTTAATAGATATCCATGCTATTATTTATCACCACGAGTATTCACGTGAATATTCACGAATATACACGGGTTATTAGTAATCTTCGATTATTCATGAATTTGTGCAATCAAATAGTAGAGATTAAATGAACACTATTTCTAATCATGAATATTCATGGATCCAACCTCTAGTTTTAAGTAATCAGTTTTATTTGTAGCAAAATTATTATACAAGGCAGCGACTTCATTGGAATCATTCTATAAGAGTTACGGCATAGTGAGGCAATGTAATTAACGGATACTAAGAATTTTTATTGGATCTAGTAGTAGTTTTATTTTCTACTAAAATTTCACTATGCTAATATAATTATAGCAGATAGCCTAATTATAGTTCTTGCTTTTGAGAATAAGTATTCTTATAGTAAAATTGCTTCAAGAATTTTTTTAAAATAATGGATTAGATTTTATAAAAATTTAGTATAGCACCAATACGACTAGTTCAATCCCAGGAATGATCTGCACTAATCCACGAGTATGGTATATATGGAAGATTCCTAAATATCCTTTAGTGAATCTTAATTTTATACTATGTTGTTGATTTCAGGATTACTTGTCTTCAGGTTAGTCAAAAATTGTTTGAGATTTTTGTTTAGTTAAGCATGTTAAATTTTTTTTTATTTTAGGATATAATAACTCTTGGACCAATAAGTATTAAACTCTTGTGTTTATGTTCTATTATGATGGTTTATGAAATTGTTTGCATTAAATATTGGAACAGACTATTTTGCAATTGGTAATAATTTTTTTTGAATTTTTTAATGAACTTGCGCCTTTTAAAATGAGCTTAAATATTATTTATAAATATAGAAATTATGAATCTACCAAATCTGAATGAAAGTCATTCGACGAATGATTTAGATTTTTATTTATTTATTCAGAATTAAAGGGTTTATTATTTTTATTATTTTATTTTATTTATTA